ATAGCTCACGGGTGTGTCACTAACCCATTTCAGGTAAGGAGAATGCTTAATGGATAACCAAAGGCCTATTTTTTTGTGGTGTCTCGTGGCTTGGGATGAATTCTAAACCTATAGTTTTATATTAGTCATGTACTACCTCTTTTGTTGGCATATGGCCAAGTTATTGTTGAAACTTAACCTTCCTTTTTGACTTGTATAACTTATATAGCAACGCTCTAGATAAATGTAATCACCTAGTATTTGCGATGATTTATTTATTTGTTCTCTAAACTAGTTAGTAGTAGGCCTAGGGTGCGAGATGAGGTGCTGGCCGGTCGCGATTCCGATTAGCCCCTATTTCGGGTCGTGACAATATAAATAAATTAATTCCTAATTAAATTACACTCTATCGTATACCAACAGAAAATTAATTATTTATTTTACTACCACACCTATTATTATCATTATTATTGTTATCAATATTATTATTTATTTATTCTTACTTTTATGTTTATTTATTTACTATCTTTAACTTTAATTTGGCCCACCTAGTATTATAATTTCATATTTCTGTTAATTTGACTTCAGATAATAATTCCTAATTAATCCCATATTTAATAATCCAATGCCAAATTAGATTCTGTATTTATTATTATTTATTTAATAATATATCATCACATACAACCATAATACTAGTATAAAATTTAAGGGACAACTTAAATTTTCGAATTGCTACATATATATTGATATTGATGGGCACCCAAGGCGGTCCAGCCCAGCTCACAGCCCATATATTAGTAATTTGATGAGGCCACTGTAGCATTAAATGCAACAGGACCCCTTACATTGGAGCATGCAGAATCACCATGAACGATGTTAACTAGGCCATAGACTTTCAGCCAACCAGACAGCTTAGAATGGATAAGGAAATGATGAGCAAAGGATATAAGAAAGCTTTCGAGATACGTCAGAGGTTAAGTCTTTACCCCCTTGATTCTCTCTTTCTCTCTCTAAAATCAATCTGCTCTAACATAACTTGATCGTCGAAGTATCTGTTGGGGGTCTATCTCCCCCTTTGGACGTTTTTTGTAGGCACGCTTTGAGGACACCAAAGCCAGCAGATCCGTTGGAAGCGTGGATCACTCCAACCCATCCTGCATTAAAGTTATTGCATTATCATATATTTTCAGCATGCACTTGGACACTAATTGGTGGATTATTTAGTTGGACTAGTTTGATTGAGATTGACTAAAAAAATAAATAAATCAAATTTAAATACAATTAAATTTTTTTTAAGGTAAACAAGACTATGGGGTGGTTTGAGATGATCTAAATAAGTGTACTTTTTGACTTTTTATGAAATATATGTTGGGTTTGAAGTGATGTGGTAGAGATGTGATGTGACTTAAATAAGATGATATGGCTTAAATAAGATAGTGACTTTTTAACTTTGTAATTTTTTTAAGTTATGACAAATAAGGCCATAATATGCGATTTTGTATATGCTCTACCAGCCTAGAAATATGATGCCTCATCAATGAGAAAGACCTAGACTTTGTTGTTTCTGAGGTTCACATCAATTTGATTTCACACAACAAAACAATAATGGAGAGAGAGAGAGAGAGGGGAATGCAGTGGACACAGAAGAAATGGTTTATCCTTTGAACTATCTAGCTATATATGCAATCACTACTCTACTCTCACTACTAAAAAAAGTACTTTTTGCGACCGCTACAAGCCGTCGCAAATAATAAAAAAACAGTCGCAAAAGACTTTTTGCGACGGCCCATGCGACGGCAAATGGGGGTCGCGAATGTGGGGGTGGCAAATACTTTTTGCGAAAAAACTAGACGCAAAAAGTCACTTTTTTAGTAGTGTCTCTCTTCTTCTTTATATATAATAATAATGATAATACTTAAAACAAGAATAGAATGGCTGCAAAGATAGCTCCTCTCTCTTTCATTGCTAACAGCTTTCTTTTTTTAGGTAGGCACGATGATGATGATGATGATGATGATGATGATGATGATGAGGAGCAAGTTGGCAACTTGGACCATATGCAACTAGGAAGCAACAACACTTCAATATTGTAAAATTGTTTCTAGTATTTTCATATTATGAGATAATGTTTTTCATATCATAGCCACCAATCAATGCATTGCTTTTCCTCTATCTTAAGGGCCCCAATGACTCTGAGGTGGGTACAACTATATGTAATTTATAATTGGATCCGATAATTATAGCAGTTATTTGAATTAGTTGGAGAAAATTGAAACAATTCATAGCAATTATCATGGTTGGAAAGCATTTTTGAAAAAAATTCTGTAACACTGCAGCAACTCAACCCTATATCTTAGTGAATAATTCTATAGACACTAAACTAGTGTGTTCAAGTATCATTGGATGTTTAAGTATAAATAATTTTTTTTTTTTTTTTTTTTTTTTTTTTATACCCTATTATATTTGGCCTTTTGTACTCTTAGTAAGATTTTTAGTGTATAAATAGATAACAAACTATATATTATTAATAATTTTCACAAAAATAATTCCATCTATTATTTTGTATCATGCGAGATCTATGTCCAGTGTATAATAAATAAATAAATGTATAATATCCAACTAATTTGTTGCAAAATTTTGGAACCATGCCGGCGATGGTATTGACTATACAAGTGGCAATTGTTTAATTTTAAGCAAGATATCTTATTAAATTATATACTAATATCAATATATGTTTAACAGGTATGTAGCAATATATTAAAATATTTAAAAAATATATGAAACATGCAGTGGAATACTGTCATTAGAATGAGCCAATTAATTTTCAGTATTAGATATATTCTGAATTGTTTGAGAATTCAGAAAGATAATGTAAGATAATTCAAGGTCTACAACTGCAGCACTAAAATAACAATATCTTGCCAATGCCCTGTGATGATTTTTAAGTTCCACTTCTGTCTGTGTTAGTCATTCAAATTATAAATCACATAATTTTGATTTATGTATGGGTTGATCAACTTTTTTCAGTTGGTGATTCAACAAGAGGTACTGTTGAACTTGGTGAGCCAGTTTATTTTTGGGCCTATTTTGATAGTCCATCATCTTGTAAAATTTTTCGAACAAATTAACTATATGTAACAAAATCATATTTATTGAAAATTGATGGTTACATCATATATTTTTAAATTATCAATGTGAGCCCAAATCTATGTAGTTGTCAATGTTTAATCAAATTAATTTTTTGTCTACTCAACATGCAAGATGTATAATTCAAATAATTGAAGTGGACTTGAGATGAATCTATGAACCCTAGAAATACTCACCGATGATTAATAATTTTGAGTAATGTTGAGAATCATAAAAAAAATATTATAAAATACATTATGAAGATTTTTCATCATTTGATTAGTGTGTTGTGTTTTATTATATGTATAATTCAAAGTGAAGAATCTTTCCTAATCATTTTGGCAACATTTTTTTTATGATTCCTAATTTTCTACTAAAAGGGCCTTGCTCGGTTATGAGATTTATTGCACTAGATGGATAAGATTGGACTGAGTGAGTTTAATTTATTATAAACACTACTTGCTCTTTGACCTAATACATCCGCTTTCCTTTTCAAACACTCTCATAATAATTAAGGTGACATTTAGAGAGGTCAACAACACGCTTCCCTAATTATTATATATATATATATGTCTATAAGTTTTGCAATTTATATAATTTCTTTCTACACCCCTATATTAAACTTCATACCGAATCCAACCACTACCACTACCCTCTCCGTTTGTTGGTCGCCTGCCGCCACCTCACCACCATTTTTGCCCCCTCTCATCTCCCTCTTCTCCATTACCCCCACATCCTCGTCCTATCGTGATGCCCCTTCCTATTGCTACCTAGTCTTGACCACCCTCCCACCACTGTGATCACTTTTTACCTTTCAAGATCAACAACGATGGAGTTGTGGTGGTTGAGATAATGGCCGGGGTGGACAATGGTGATGTGATGGTTGCTATTGAAGTGGAGTAGGGCAAAAGTTTGGATCCAACAAAAAAAAATTGAATTTTTCTACTTGTTGATAATTTTGTTTTGAGGTATTGATAAATAAAACTTAAAATAATTATGCATTTTTTAAGACACGTTTTTAAACAATATATATTTATTTCTAAGTTTATTAACAAGTATCCTTAACAAAATCTATAATACAATATTGTAAGTTTTGATCAGTTCAGTTCAACTAGATACTTAAGGCCTCCCATCTTAAATAAAAAAATGAAAAGAAAATAAGAAAATTACCGCAAACATTAATAATAAATTAATTAACACATGGTTAAAAAGTGGATTATCCAGCTAATCAAAAGGGATTGATAAAGGTTTTCCTTGTCTTTCATGTTCTTGGGCTATGATGCAAAAAAATGATTCTATGAAAGGAACATGTATGCTATGCCCCTACAGGGAATACATCATAGATTTCTACGTAATAAAGAATCAATTTGATCGCTGTTTTTGTGTTGATCTGAGTCGTTATTAAATTCTTAATTGCAAACAATTTAGCAAATTTTGGTACTTAAGCATATGAAATTTTTTTAGTGTATAAAATTTGATCATAGTGTTGAATATAATCTTTCACATGAGAATAGACGTATTAAATGTGAAAATGTCAATCACAAGTATAAAAAATTGTGTCTAATTTTGTAATTAGATTCTCTACACAGAAGAACTGCAATTATATTTTTAGTTTTGAAGGTTATCATGTTTTCGGATAATAAGTTTAAGCGAACAAATAATCAAACAAATCAAATATATCATAATAATGGGACCATTCAAAACAAATAAAAAGTTATCTGTGGTTCAAAAAAAAAAAATCAAACATCATTAGATTCTTAACGATTAAAAAAATTATAACTAAACATCATTAAATTCACAATCATCTCAAAATATAGTGAGACATAACAAAACACTATTAAAATTGGATAGAACAAATTTTTATCATATTTTCTTATTAATGGATACACAAATGAAAACATGTGAGATCATACATTTTGTATCTACTAATAAGCAAATAAAAAAAATCTAATTATTCATATTATTTTCCTTGACATATATATTGGTCATTTTAGTTTATATATATATATTTTTTAAATGCATGAATTCAATTTGACAATATAAAATATTACCTAATTATATTCTGAAATTATTAAATAATAGTTTTTTTTTTATGAATAATAAAATCCTTTTTATTAAAAGAGAACGGAACTGTTGAGATTCGCAACTACCACCTGCCACACCTTAATCTCCCCATCAAAGCTTCCACTGAAAACCTTCACACCACCACCACCACCGGTGGCGGATTCATCCTCCGGCACCGCCGCCAACGACTTCACTGGCTTTTCATGCGCGTCGGAAACAGTCAAGCAACAGTACCTTCCATCAAGCCCCCTCTGCCAAATCCTAACCGTCCGATCAGCAGACCCACTGAACAACAAATCCGAGACGTAGATCAAGCACAGTATAGCCCTAGAGTGACCTCTCAGAGCACCAGTCACCGCCATGTAATTCGCACTGTCCTCTCTCTCCCACACCAGAATCGAACGATCACACGCTCCGGAAAACAAAACCGTTCCGTCACCGTTCAATGCCAGAGAATTCACCGCCGATTTATGCTTCTCTAAACTCGCTATCAATCCGTACTTTCTCTCTCCAGACGCTCGTCCCCAAACTTTAATCCGGCGGTCGGCGGAGGCGGTGTAAATCGTGCCATCGATCGCCACCGCGACGGCGTTAATGGCGTCGTCGTGAGCTTTAATCGATTGTACACATCGAAGATCGGAGACTCTCCAAATCTTCAAACACTTGTCCCACGAAACCGAACACATCAAATTCAAACCGTCGATAACTTCGAGTCCAGAAACCGCGTCGTGGTGTTCGATCCAGAGCCGCTTCCTGTGACGGCGAACCTTCACGTAGTTCGCCGGAAAAGCGAATCGGAGTAAGCGATCGTTGACGGTGGGGAGAGTGGCGACGAGTCTGTGATTCTTTTTATTGTTTGTTAATTTCCAGACTCGGATTTTACAGTTCTGGTGTGCGGTGAAGACTCTCTCGTTGTAGAAACTAATAGATTTGACAGAACCAGAGGAAGAACTGTTACCGTTGAATGTGTGTATGAGAGAGAAATTGTTGATGTCGAAGACGTTGATTTCGGTGGCGGAGGCGGCGTAGAGGAGGCGGCGGTGGACGGCGAGGAAGGAGACTGGGAGGGGGAGGGGTTTGAGGGAGGCTAGGCGGTGGTAGTGGTGGTGGGAGGCGAGGGAGAGGGTTAGGGTTTCGGGGGAGAGTTTTTGGAGGGAAGGAACAGAAGGGAGGGTTTGGAGAGAGAGGTTGCTTTGGAGACTGCTGCTGCTGTAGCTGGTGTCATGGGAGGTGGATGATGAGCTTCCAGGGATGTCTGAGCCGCTACTTGTGTCGGAGAATAGAGGTTTTGGTGGTGGTGGTGGTGGTGGTGTGGGATCGTAGGAGGTGGCGGAGGAGCATGTTGATAGCCATGATCGGAACTTCATGTCGCCGGCGAGAGAGAGAGAGAGAGAGAGAGAGAGAGTTGATAGATAAACAAAGAGGATACAAATGGAGGAATGAGAACAAAGCTATAAGCTTTATAGAGTGAGTGAGAGAGAGCGTAGCCGCTACCGGCAAAATTATTTCCAAAAGTGCTTGAATTTAGTTGCCGTTTGGCAACTTGCTTTGCTTTAAGAAATAGGTTAAATAAGTTAATAAAATAAAATATTATATTTAAATTATAATTTTTTTTATAATTATTATATTTAAATTAAAAAAGATAAAAGTTCTTTTTAAATAAAACTAATTAATCAGATAAAAAAAATCAAAAAATCAAAAATCATGCTAAGTTAGTTTTTTCCAAACGAAACTTTTCGGAAATTATTGATTAGTGGAGATAGAAAAATAATTTTCAAAAAAATGAAATTTTTTATTATTTTTTGTAAATATTTTTTTTTCTATTCCCATTAAAAAGGGAAAATTTCAAAAAAGTGTACAATTTTAAAAATAATTATAAATTGATGATAAATTTTATTAATATCAATAATTAAAAATATAAAATTTTTGTAATAATTTTTTCAAGATTCTACTGAGTGTAATTTCCCCATTTAAAAATGTGTACATCATGACTTGCTTCAACATTTTTTTCCTTTCAATTAAACTTTTATATAATATTTGTGGGAGTAACTGCTATTTTCTCTAGATAAAAATTAATTTTAAAATCAGATATAACTTTTTCTTAGACTTACTCGCTTTATATGAGATAATTATGTATAATTTTGTGATTAGTTTTTATATTTCTAAATTTTTTCATAGTAATTTGTAGAAGGCTATATACATGGTACAATAAATAAATAACATATAAATAAATTATAAACTACTATTAGGTAGACATACAAATTCTTGATAATTTCTATCAAGAATGGTTATTAATTAGGGGTGAGTATACATCGGATCCATGTTTAAAATTACACAAAAACTCAAACAAACAAACAAACAGAAAAAACTAGCTTAGCTCTCTCCCATTAAAATCAATAACATAATGGTAAATTAGATGTCGGTTCTATCATATGATGGAAACATTTGAGCATTTTAAGAAAAAATTTCATCACTTAAAGCATTTATTTTGTTCTATGTAGGACAAAGTTTTATAAAGACAAGTCAAGAAACAAAAAAGGAAAGTTTTGAAAGTCCAAAAATCAAAAATAACTTTTAAAATATTTCAACAAATACTTTTCATCTTGTTACTGATTTTAAATGATACTGATACTAAAGACTAAAATGTAATAAATTATATATTTTTAAATTGAAGATTAAAATGTAACCAAAAAAAAAAAGAAGCACATAATTTGTGCCCGACTTGTGTAATTAATTCAAAATAAGAAAAAGAACAAGATGTTTGATGATAAGCAGATGAAAAATGGGCTTAATTTTGTTTTATAATGGCGGAGGTGGAGATATTAAAGCTGTCTTTCGAACTCCTCGTTTCCATTTAAGATGACAACTACATGATATAATTATAAATATTCTGTTTATATATTATTATTATTATGGTAAATACTGATCATTCTTTGGAAATTGACGCTATATTAACACTCTTTAATGAAAGTTTGTTACTAGATAGTGCCTCAAAGACGAATTTGATTTTATTAACACATTCAATACACACATACATTTGATTGCTGCAGAATAGTGGGATGATTAGAGTTGTTATATATAATTTGTAACCATGATTATGTTACTAATAATAATATACTTTGTTGATTAAAAAAAAAAAAACTAATAATATATATCATGTTTATAGACAACATCCCAGAGCAGATTCTATGTCACCAAAACAACTTTTCCACCTATTCACAAACTTTGGAATAGTTAAGGATGTCTTTATTCCAAGTAAAAGGAGGAAAACATCATGGTCCAGATTTGGTTTCGTAAGGTATGATTCCCCAGTAGCAGCTAAGATGGCTATCCAAAAAGCCAACAAAACCTGGTGTGATGACAAAGTGTTACAAGTAAAGAAAGCTGAGTTTGGTAAGGAGCAGGCTAAAAACAAAGATAGAATCGACACTCATATTCTAGTACCACCGAGAGCAGTGGGGGTAAGGATGACAACTGGTGCAAGCACGGTAAGGAGAGTGTTATATGCTTACTGCAAAAAATAGTTAAAGATCACCTTTTGACAAATGAAAATATCTCACTTTTATTAGAAGTGTGATAAAAAAAATTAGATTAATATTTTAATCACACTAAATTTGATTAAGTGTGATAATATTTATTTTTTATGTCACTTTTCAATTAAGTGTGATTATATATTTATATTTTTAATCTCACATTTTAAATAAGTGTGATTATATATAATTGTTTTAATATATAATTGTTTTAATCACAACTTCTAAATAAGTGTGATCAAAAATTTTTGGGGTATTTTTTTTAAGGTCCCTGATATTATGATTTTATAATATAAAGGACATCAAATATTTTCATGATGTCTAAGGTCCCTCAACAGTAGCCCTCATACCTTGATATTCTCTTTTCTATTGTAGGAGATGAAGATGAGCGCCTGGATCGCAAGGGCTTCGGAGACGAAGATGTATGCGATTGTGATGAGAGGAAAGGAGAGAAGGAGAACAAGGCCGGGAATCTCCACTGGGTAAAGTTTTGGGAAGTGTTGGAAGATGATGAGGACTGAGAGTCAGGTTGTTGGGGATGGCGGTGGGTCAGATGATGAAGACAGTATAAAGGACTGAAATTTCTCTGTTGTATGTTTAGGGATCTTAGACATCAAAAAATAATTTTGTGGATCTCTTCCATTATGAAAAGTGGGAGAGGGACCCTAGACCAATTTTCCCAAAATTTTTTGGGGGAATATTTACCACCTAATTTTATTTTATGTTTAATTTTATTAATTTGTTTTTTATTATTATTTCTCTGTATATATCGAATGATACTTACACCCAAGGAAATAGCAATCAACACCAGTCTCTTGCTCTCACTATCGTCGACTGCCCATCGGTCTTCTCTCATCGACTAACCATCGGCCACCGTCGCTCACCGTCTCATCACCACGATCGGTACACCGTCCCAGACCCATTGATTTTGAATCAGGTTTTTCTGTTTCTCTCTCTTTGTCTCTCTCGCTTCCTCTATTTCCCTATTTGACTCTAGTTGTAGGATTTCTTTGTTTTTGTGTTTTGATGTTGTATGGGTTTGATATATGGGAAACGAGTAAATGGGTTATGAGTTTTGATCTACATTTAGGGTTTTTTTTTCTTCCTCTCTTCTTTCGATACAGAGGCTTTCAAGACCCAATCAACTTTTAGTGGTTAAAATGATACATGGCTGAGATCATTTACACTTTTGGAGTATTGGGTACCTACAGATTGGTGTAGTTGAAGATATTCTACAGATGAATGATGAGAGTCCTAGCCACAATGAAATCATTTGTGAAATACCGCAAAGCATGGGAGAAAGTTCTCTTGATGACAAAGCACCTATTTTCTTGTTTGTTTATGGGGGTAATGTATCGTCATTTTTCAATATTTTAACTATATATACTATTTACTTTGTTTTCTATTTCTGAAGCTAGGATGAAATGCTTGTCTCAAAATTTCTAATTTTGTATTTTTCTATGATTTCCTATGCAATTGCAATTTTAAACAAAAAAAATTTCTCCTTTCTTAGAGATGAATGGATGGAGTTTCTTGCAATGACTTGCACAATTTAATACTGTATTATTGGGCTTAGCTTATTAGGTTGTCACTAGTTCATGCGAACTGCTAATTTTAACAAGAAATTAAATTTATTGGGTCCCTTTCACCTTGATTCTCATTGTATTCCATGTTTTTAACTTTTTATTAATTATTAACCGATCTTGTTTTGACATGGTTTGAAGGAAGACCACTAGGAGTTGAGATTAACAGTGTTCAACTTCCTTTCATTTTTTCCCGAAATATTATTTTTATTCTAAACCTTGATCCCATTTCTTAACTTATCAAGATGAGTAATTCTATTTGCCAGAACTTGCAGTAACTAATGTATTAAAAGTTAGAAATTATTGCATGTGGAACTTATATGGTGGACAGGTATTATAGATCCTGGATACAAGTGTGATACAAGGTATTCAACAATTAGAGATGGATGATAAGATTAAACTTACTGATAACATCAGCGAAGCACATGCACTACTTGCCTTGCAGTCCAAGCTCAAGAAGAATCCTTGAATTCAAGCTGCCGCTAGATCCCAGGGCATACCAATTTATGTTATGAAGGTAACTTTCCATAAATTTTACTTAGCCTTGCATATCCCTTGTTAATGAGTTCTTATTGAAAATTTTCCTTTCCATCCTCCTCTTCTTCAATTTACATTACATAATATGTTTTTTGTAGACAAGCTCATTGATGCAGTTGACGAAAGCCATACGGGCATTAATAGCTAATCATGAAGATGATTTTAAGGATTTTGAATAAGATGACAAGACAAATGCGCCTCAGAAGATTGAAGCCTTGGAAGTGAAAATGAGTTTTCTTTTTGCCTTTTTCTCCATTTCATCTTTCTCACTGCATGGCTACATGCTATTGACACTCGCTAACTAAAGGGTTTGCATGTGCCAAACTGAAGTAGATTTTCAGTTTGGTATAGTACGCTAATTATGTGTTGTTGGGCTTGGATTCAATTCAATCACTTCATTAATTTAGCCGTTCTGTATTAGGGAGGGAAGGGGGGAACTATTTACAAAATGGAAAACCGTCTTAGCACCCAACTTTTTACTTGGGCCAATTCCTACCCAAAGGCAGTGCCACATGTTTTTCAGGGTATTCAATTGAATATAGTTCAATACCCTGACTTTGTTTTGCCTTATGTTTACACCTTAAAATTTGAACACCCAAGTTAACATATTTTGAATACCTATTCCACAAATCTTGAATATCCAACTCACCCACTTCAAATTTCGCACACCCACTTTACAATCCACCTGAAAGAATAGCATCCACTATTGCTTCTAAATTAGAATGAACTCCCAGCTCATTCTTGGAAATTATTTCTACACCACAACTAAATGTTGAGGGTCCTTTCCTTTCTAGCACTGTTTTTTGAACACGCCTCCAACTTGCTTCTCCATTCCCTAGTGTCACACTTTGAGAAATGGATATATTAATG